TTTAAAACATTATATATATATATATATATTAAAATTTTAAAATTATTAAATTTTTAATGAGAAAGACTAAAATTGCACAATTATGATATTTGTGAGATTAAAATTGTTCAATTAAAAATTGTGAGACTAAAATTACACAACTGTAATCTTTTAAAATTGTGAGAGATTAAAATTGTTCAATTAAAAATTGTGAGATCAAAATTGCATAATTATAATACTTGAGCGATCAAAAACACAATTAAGTCAAGAATATTATATTCTCAGTTTTGGAACGGGCCGTTCTGCTACACTGGTGGTGTGTTAATTTTTGCATCTGGAACGGTCCGTTTCAGTTGCAAAATTAACACACCAAAAGTGCAACCAGAACGACCTATTCTGATTTCAGAACGGGCCGTTCTGGGTCCAGGTGTTTTCAAATAAATTTTCATCCACGTGGCATTTACGTATGCATCTACGTGGCATCCACGTGGCTAAAAGTTAACTCCGTTTAAATAATTTGGACGGAAGTTCCACATTGAAACCAATTAATTAATTTGGGACTAAATTGAAACGAATTAATTAGTTTGGGACCAAATTGAAACAAAAAATAAAAGTGGGACTAAATTGAAACAAACAATTAATATAAGGGACCAAAATAGGATTTTAGCCTATAAAAAAATGTGATATAATATATATGAGTATAAACTTATTTGATATGTATATATATAATTTTAGTGTTAATTTTAAATAAAATTTAATAATGTATATTATATGTCATTGTAATTTATATTTACATCTTTTAATAATTATGAAGATATATTTACTAATATATATTATATGTAATATATATATTTTGAAATGTATATATTACGTCAATTTTGTTTTATGAGAGGAATATAAGCTGAAACATCTCCCGATTGGGTTTCCACAATTGGTAAAGCAGTCATACTTCCTTCGCCTAACTGAGAACTTAATTTAGCGGCTCTTTCCAAAAGACGCGAATGCAAATAAAAAACATCCCCTGGATAAGCTTCGCGACCAGGCGGTCTTCGTAATAGAAGAGACATTTGGCGATAAGCCTGTGCTTGTTTGGAGGGATCGTCATAAATAATTAAAGTGTGACGTTCACGGTACATAAAATATTCAGCCAGAGCTGCTCCTGTATAAGGGGCAAGGTATTGTATAGAGGAGGGTTCAAACGACACCGGTGTAACTTTAACTAAGTGTTACACCGCTTAATAACTTTATATTAAATGTGAATTTTGTAAATCCAACCGTTAGATTGAAAGTTCATATCACTTTATACGTGTATATCAAATTTTGTTAAAATTGAATAACAATTTGAAGGTGATCAAAGTGTTCATATTTTAGTGTATTTTAAAATGAATATATTACGTCAATTTTGTTGTATAAAAATGAAGTATCAAATCATCTTAGATTAATATAAAAATTTGTATATATGATCTAAGAGATATGAACTTTCAATATAACGGTTGAATTTACAAAATTTGCATTTAATATAAAGTTATTAAGCGGTGTAATACTTAGTAAAAGTTACACCGGTGTAATTATTCTACATTAATGATCTAATTGTTAAATTAAATGTTCTTAATATATAGATCATTTTTACAAATTTTAAAAAAATTTAAAAATTATTTGATATTTCGTTTCAATAATTCAAATTGATAGATTCATAAAATTATTTTATACGTTAATTTGAATTAATGAAACAAAATATTAAATAGTTTACAAATTTTTTCAAAAAATTGCAAACTTAATGTATACATTAAAAACTTTTAATTTAATGGTTGAATTGTTATAATTTAATGTAAAGATATGTTATTAAGTGAAGTAGTTTATAAACACTTTATTTTTTTAATCCATGGAGACTTTTTTTTAAAGATAAAATTGCAATGGTCTAATAAATACGGAACAGAGAATATCTCAAATGTGATTATCCTAACATTGTTAACAAACTTATGGTTAAAATAACTATATTTTTTTTACATTAGTATTAACATAATATTTGGTCAACAAAATTCATACTCTACAAGCATAAATTAGTAGATAAGTTTGTTGTTATTGTTAATCACCACATTTAAGGTATTATTCACTTTATTACTTATTAAATCATTATAATTAAATTACACTTAATCTCTCATCTTAAGTAATCTAAAACTTTTAAATGTACTATATCAATAACTATAATCGTAAACATTATTTTTGTTGATTAAAAATTCTGATTGAAAAACATGGCTAGCACCATAATGGTTTTCATTATTTCAAAAGAGCCAACAATCCTAAACAAAATAATAATTTTCAATTCAACCAACCTTTATCCATAATTAACCAAAAAATTTAGCCACGGCTAGGCCACACAAAATTTTATTCAAACTAGTCAACTAGTTGTCTCCACTTCACAATTGATGATTCTTAGGCATTGTGGGAGCCAATGAAAATAACTACCACCGTCCACATACTATATCCTACAGCCACAAGCTTTTTTTTAACAAAAGCCAGTTAAAGAAGTAAATGACCAAAACTAAGACAACTAATATTAAGTAAACACTTGAGTTTTGAAGAGTCGGTAACTATTAATTAATTAACAAAACATGATTTGACACATTTAATCGAAAATTGACATACTGAGTCTTCATTCATACTAGTTGTGATTTATGTTCAATTTTCAGAAAATATGTAAATATCAATATAATTTTTTTTTATAGAGATGGTGGTCTTTTCTGATCTTGTATGGGAGTGTATCTTTCCCTGATCTAAAATTTAACCTACTAAAAGAACAAAGTCAATTGTTATCATCTACATTAGATGAAAAAAGTCACTACATACTTCTACATATTTATTTTAAAAAATAATAGAATAGAAAATAAAAAATATCCTTATGGTTCATCAAAGGTTATTATTGTCTAAAAAAATGAAACCAAAGGTATATATTGTTGTAGATTAAATTAGATATTTATTTTTTTCCGTAGAAAATGACTTATGCTACGTTAGCTATTTAATTTTTAATTTTTTAACGTTAATTAAGTGTTCTCATATATTTTCTATATTTTTATTCTATTTAAATAAACATTTTTTTTAATTTTAAATATCGTTCATATTTTACTAAAATTAAAAAAAAAATTCCGAACTATAAAATAGATACGTATATATTGGGAACAAATTTGCTGTCCCCTTAGCTGAACTACTTTAGCTATTTTTCATCCATTTTGACAGCAATGTTTCTCCAATTTTCTTGTGACAGAACAATCAATTAAGCGACATTTGTCTTCAGTTGCGGTCGTGTTGGTATTTCGATCTTAGGTCCCTTCATGGGACCATATCATGCCAAATAAAATTTTATACATAAAATATATTTCAAAATATCTATTCTAATAAATATTAAAAAATTTAACTGCTTTATAGTGCAAGAAAAATAAAGATTATGAGTGTAAGTTAAAAAATTTATATATTCTCAATGCCTATTTTTATTTAATCTTAAGAATTAACTTTTATTTATTTATTTTACTTTGATTCTTTATTTTTTTTGTTTCAATAACCAATTTCTCTATTTCAACATTTGGTCCCAATTTGGCTTATGTGTGAGTGTTGAATGTAGATTAAGAGAAGGATATTCTTTGTCTTGAATGTAATTTTAAAAGGGTTGGAACGACTTTGTTATTGAAGGATGTGTTAGCATAGAGAATGTTAGGTATCTACAAGTGTAAAATCATTCTTTGCTTTCTTTTTTCAACTTCATTTCGTTAGTTTTGAAATATGTATTTGCGGTCCAATAAAGGTTCCTATATATTCTAATTTAACTTTGTGTAATGGGACCAACGAATAAAGGCTCTCACGGCAAGAAATTCTAACTTGGCGTTGTCTGATTAATTAATATAAACAAAATGACTTAAATGAATATTATTTTTCATGTTCCTGGTTAGTCAGTTTTGATTTAGCTTCCTTTCTTTAGTGTTATTTATGCGAGTTTTATGCTTCATTTGCTATATTAGCATTATGTGTATGTTACATTGGTAACATTATTACTCTTCTTACTTAGGAATTAATGCTAAATACCAAAATTTAATTTTATACTATTGTAAATGGATTCAAATTTAAATTTGTGTGAAGTATTAAACTTATGGATAAATGTAGTAATTATATCTCATTATAAGTTGATATAAATGTTACATAATTTTCTCATATCACGAAGTTAATGTTGTTCTCATTATAAAATTCTACTTTAATAACATATTTACTAATAATTTGAAAGAATTTATTAAAATGTTTTTTTTTCCAATTTTTTTTTATATATTTTTCTTGTGACTACTATAGATAAATACATGTAAAATTTTATCCATACCACCGTAAATCTTTCTCAATATTATTTCCCAAAAAGATAAAATTGTATTCAATTAGAAAAAGGAGGTAGCATTGAAATTGTGACATACAAAAAAATAACTAATTTTTAAATATTAAAATTTAAAATTTAAGATTTTTGATTCGTTCTTAAAATATTTATCATCGATGTAACTAATTTTCTTGTTATGTTAAAAGGATAGGATAGCTGGTCTCAAGATTTAAAATTATTGGTTGAATTTTATCTTGTTTGTTAGATAAATCAGTGGTATAGATGTCACCGAAAGTAGAAATTGACGAGATTGCATAGATATTTTCGATTTTACTATTTATTTGTCAAGAATCTCAAAGAGTACTGCGATACTGTTCCTCTGTCAAGATATTCACTGACTTCTATTTTCATCGCCAGGTAAATCAACGGTACAAATTTTATCGGAAGTATCCAAAAATTGTACATTTGCTTTTATTTTAATTTTTGTGCACTTTTTTCATTTTCAATTTTGAAGAATAAGTATTAAAAAGAAAAAGATTTGGCATAAAGGGGAAGGCCATGTCATGTACAGAGAGAAAGACAGCTTGAAGACAGAATTCAGTTCCTCGCCGGAGCCATTGCCGTTAGCATTGTTCAACCAAATTCCTACTCTCTCTCGGGTTTCGCGGGATCTTAATAATAACACTCTTTTCACAACGCGGTAATAAGAATTCTCAGCTTCTTTCTACTAACTCAATTCTTCCACATTTTGATTTCTTCCTCGCCCTCGCTAAACCCTAAAACCCCCTTCCTTTCTTTCACCTCATGCCATGGATTTTACTGTTTTGCTCTGCAAATGCCTGAAATTGAGAAATTCAGGTACTTATAGAAGAAAAAAAAAAAAACTTTCCTTTTTTTTTTATATTTTTTTTCACGTGAGCTTTTGAGGGAAAACGTAATTATCTGCCGTGGGATTTGGGTCATCAGTAAACTTAAGGTGCAGGGAAATGATTTTTTTATTTTTTTATTTTATGTGTGTGTAAAGATTGTAGGGGTAACAAGGGGTTTTATTCGGTTGGTTGAGTAAGGTGGTGTTGAAAGCCTCTTGGTACCGAGTTTGACTCCTATGAAAAAAAAAATTTGTAGGGGTGAGACTTGTTTTCTGATTGATACAGATTTCTGGCAATTGAGGTTTTTGTTTTTGTTTTTAGGGGTTTTGAGTGAAGTGTTTGGGAATGGTTAGAAGGCTGATTGTTGGGCGTTGAAGTGAGGAAATGGATTCTGCAAGGAGTTGGCTTCAGAAGTTCCAGCCTCGAGATAAAACCAGGGCTGGTGCGAAGAAAAAGGAGGAGGAGGAGGATAGTAATGGAGGAAACCAGGATTTGAGTGCAGCAGTGGATGAAGCAGCGCTTTCCAGTGTCACCAAGCAGAAGGTGGCAGCAGCAAAGCAGTACATTGAAAACCATTACAAGGAGCAAAGGAAGAACCTTCAGGAGAGGAAGGAGCGGTATGGTTCAGTTTATCTCTGATTCTGATAAATGTTTTTTGTGTATTGGGAAACATCAATTGATGACACTTGCTTGTGACCACCTTCGAACCACTTGGGTATAGTTTTTAGTGAGCAGTTTATGCCTTTATGGCATTCCTCTCTGCTTCAGTGTTTTTCTTCAGGCCAGAGTTGTTTCCTGTCATTCCCATCTGCTGCTCTTAAATTCCATCTATATAGCTTATGCTGTTGATTGATACGAAATCTTTTACTTTTTGTCATGTAGAGAGTTGCTTTGTTGATATTTGTATACATCATATAGTATTTGTTTTCAGTATTGCCGTTGCACTTCTCCATCACTACATAGATATGACGAGATGTTAAATTTGGCACTTGGCTGCACTGATTTAGTGTTTGTTTTTCCAAGAGGACTTTTGAATGGCGTGTGCAATTGAAAATTGAAGTTGGCTTATGTCCTCACTGAGTTCAGTCTTATAACATTTGTAGTTGTAACTCAAATTTGTTAGTTATTGTTATTATTTCTGCCAGGAGGTTTGATTGTTTCTGGGAATTTTGGAGGACTATCCATAGAAAGAGGGAGTTGTTTTATTTTTTCTCCATGAAGTTAGTATGAGCAATTGCATCTACTGGGTTTGAGAAGATATCTCTCTATTATGTTCTTAAGGGGAGGGTTTAATGAGATCCAAGGCATTGGTTCATATTACAAGCTCATATACTATGGGAGCTATTAAGTTCTAATAATTTACTGGTTCAGAAACATACCATAGTGGGTTTTGGATTCCTCTCTCAACTTTATGTTGAGGTGCATCCGTGCATATGAAAATGGCTGGAACTGGATGTGTCATCTTGCTTGAATTTTAATGTGTATTGTGTTAGTTGGTTTGGCAAACATGTGATAAACTTTTATAACATCTCACTTGCTTATGACAGTCGAACCATCTTGGAAAGGAAGTTGGCTGATGCTGATGTCTCCGAGGAGGATCAAAACAATCTGCTTAAATTTTTAGAGAAAAAGGAAACTGAATATATGCGCCTTCAGAGGCATAAGATGGGTGTTGATGATTTTGAGTTATTAACAATGATTGGAAAAGGTGCATTTGGGGAGGTATGTACATGATTGTTGTTATGTCTGTTTGTGCTTTCTTCCTTCATCTTATGATCAATGTTTTAAATCCTGGATGGTGGCATGTAGCGGGGCTAGCCCCAAAAATACTATAGCAGGATAGTCGACATTTTTTTTATTTATTATTATTTTATATATGTATATATATATATATATATATATATATACATATATAGTTTATATAATGTATACTGTATACATATAAATTCTCAAAAGTGATAAAAGTTACTCAAAATTATCAACATTCATAATTAACAATAAAAAAACCATAGGTTTCTTGATTCTTGAAACATACAAGTAAATAGAAAATACCAACAAAAGTCAAATACAAGTTTCCTTGATAGGAATCATCAATCATCATCTTCTAAATCCAAGTCTTCTTTATCATTTTCACTGCTATTGCAACTGTAGATTTCATTTCTAGAAATTGAAATTCCAATAAATAGCTCCCCAAAAGGCCCTAATGTTTTTGTTCAGAGGACATTTTTGGAATCAAAACATAGCACCACTATGACTGCTTTTCAGGCTATTTGGTCCACTACAGATGCTACACTAAACCACTCAACTATCGCAGCAGCTGTAGTGAGCAGGTCTGCTCCGCACTGCCAGACCACTATAGTGGCACTACAACACTCAATTTAAAACCCTGCTTATGATTACTTATTTTATGTGTAAATTGAAATATAATGGTGGATTGTTTTACACTGGCTCTATCTATGGGATACTTTGGTATATATTATGCATTCTTTTGTATTCTTATTTAATTACATGCATAGTAACATTAAAGTGATTTTAAAGAGCTAAACAAAACAAAATATTGTAATGGGGGATGTGGGCGTCCATAATGTTTTTATCACAATTTTCTGGGTATATCATTATTAATATTATTTTGTAAACTCTTATCAGGGATATTATGGTGTTATGTGAATAGTTTGGGACAATTGTTGTTACCACTTAGTAGGTGGCCACAACTACCAACGTCCTATTGCTAGCAGTAGTTTTTATTGGATTTCGCATTTTATTAATCAATATCTCTTCCATTCTCTAGCAATATAACCTTGCTACTTTGTTGGATGGGATTACAACATGTAAATGAAGAATGGTCCTTTTCTCCTCTCGTTTTTCATAATCTAACTCCAACTACATCTAACTCTGCTGTGCTGAGGAGACTCATGAACATATAGAAAGACTGATTTCTATTTGAAAAAAAAAAAATGTAATTATAGTTTGAAGATTGTATATGCTGAAAACCTCTTTTGTGAACCACATATTCATTTTTAGATTATGTGTGTAAAAAGTGTAACAGAACTATCCAACTGATCCTGACCCCTTGCGTTTTCCCTGAAATTTGAATTTGTTCCAGGTCAGAGTCTGTAGGGAGAAGACAAGCGGTCATGTATATGCAATGAAGAAGCTTAAAAAATCAGAGATGCTTCGCAGAGGCCAGGTTTACAACATTGATCTGGCTAAATTTTGTTATTCCGGTTATTAGTAGTTTAAGTGTGTATGGTGAATAAGGCCATCATACTTAATCCCATTTGTTAATTTTTTCAGGTTGAGCATGTTAAAGCTGAAAGGAATCTCCTTGCAGAGGTTGACAGCAATTGCATTGTCAAACTTTATTGTTCTTTTCAGGATGATGAATATTTGTATCTTATTATGGAGTACCTACCGGGTGGGGATATGATGACTCTACTTATGAGAAAGGATACCTTGACTGAAGATGAAGCCAGATTTTATGTAGGAGAAACAATTCTGGCCATCGAATCTATACATAAACACAATTATATACATAGGTATTTACATGTTCATTTACTTTCAGAGTAGTCCTATTTCCTTAGTTATACCCAATACATTTAACTTCTTTTTATAGGGTTAGCTTCTAATTGAGTCTGGTATAACTTTGAGCTAATTTCCAGAATATCTGTTATATTTGTGAAGCTTATTGTGAGCTAATTTCCAGAATATCTGTTATAATTGTAAAGCTTATCTGATATAACTTTGAGTCTGTTTGATGTATGAAGTTGCATGTATATGTATGTGTTTATATTTTAAACTAAAGCAAACTTAATTAGTTATATAGTATAAGTTTGTCTATTCAATATTTTGTGTTACAGGGATATCAAGCCAGACAACTTATTACTTGATAGATATGGACACTTGAAATTGTCAGATTTTGGACTTTGTAAACCATTAGATTGTAGTACACTTGAAGAAAAGGATTTTTCTGTGGGTCAGAATGTGAATGGATCTACACAAAATGAAGAGCGCACAGCTCCCAAACGCTCACAACAAGAACAACTGCTACATTGGCAAATGAACAGGAGGACACTTGTAAGTTCACTGCTATAGTGCTATTATGTTCTGACTTAATTTTATTTGTTATGATTGTACACACAATTGTAAAACTTGATGCGGTGTTTTCCTTATATGTGGTGAAGTGTTTAAAGTCATATAATAATAAATTGTACATGTCAAACCCCTCTCCACCCACCCAACCCAAAATAAAAATAAAAAACATAAATGGCTGCATTTAACTATTGAGGTTATTTGTATGGATAGTGTTCCTCATGTGTTTAAGATAGTGTTCTTTTACATCTTGTGTGTGCTTGTAATTTTTAAATGTATAATCATTGCAGGCTTATTCCACAGTTGGTACACCAGATTATATTGCCCCAGAAGTTCTTTTAAAGAAAGGTTATGCGATGGAATGTGATTGGTGAGTTTTATGTGTGTGAATGTTGGCATATTATCAAATATCGATTTGTCTTTGCCATAGTGTATGTATATCATAGGATCCAATTTATCTTTTCATTCATTTCTAGTGATCCTTTCAATAATTTTCAAGTTTCAACACAATTTGGCATTCAAATTTCTTACTTCCATTCTTGGGATGCAATTTGGGGTGTTTTCCTTTTTTTTTAATTTTTATTATTATTATTATTATTATTATTATTATCATTTCCCTTTCAAATGTTTTGAAAACATATTGGATTTTGCTTAATTTATGTGGAGTATGTGAATATATAAGATCAGGGTTACATATTTTATTTTTAATGCAATGATTGTTACAAAATTCCCAGGTGGTCACTCGGAGCTATTATGTACGAAATGTTGGTGGGATATCCACCTTTTTATTCTGATGATCCGATGTTAACTTGTAGGAAGGTAATCTTTCTAATAGAAATGTTTCTTGTGACTAATGCTTGTTTGATATTCACTTTTGTTATTATGATAAATCTCTGCGGGACACTCTTAAAATTTATTTTGACTTTTGCTTTGCATTTATTTTGAACTTTTAGCTATAAGCTACTTTTCTGTCTGTCAGTCTGTCTCTCTTTTTGTAGTTTCTATCAAAGTCTATTTTCTAGTATCAAATTGCTTGCTATGTTGCTTACCCTCATTTGGTTCATGTCTTTGGACTGATTTACTTGTAAATCAAGCTTATTTGACATTTTTGGTGTTATTAAATTCTTTGCACTGGATCTACATGATACACATGTTCATGCTATGATTAATTATAATAATAATAATAATAATTATTATTATTATTATTATTATTATTTATATTAATTGCAATTTGTACTAATGCAAATTGTACCATATGAAATATGGTAATGGTTATGAGGCTGAAAGCACTTTTACCCTAGTTCTTTTATTCCTTTGGTTGAGTTGGCTAGATAACTGAAACCATATAATACACGTCTTTCTTTTCTTCTTTCCCCTCAGGCTTCTTTTATTGAATGTTAATAAGCTGAAGATGAGTGAGGAAGCTAAATTTCTGAAAGTGAATGTTTACATCTATTAGAATTGAAAAAGAAACAGAGTATTTATAGAGCTGGAATACACAGCTCTGTATAAGGGATAAAGGTCACAATATAAATCCTAACTATAACAAACTATGACTGACTAGACAACCCAACTATCAGTAACAGAAAGTTGACTAGTTAGGACAGGATATAGTGCATGGCACTATATAGCAGTACATGCAACAACATATTCTGATATCTCTAACATACCCCCCTCAAGCTTAAGGTGGTTGATTGAGGAAAGTGAAATCTGACACTAGAAACTTGTTCCTCAAAGGAAGAAATCTGGTGGGAAAGAGCTTTGGTGAGGATGCTTGCACATTGTTCTTTTGAAGGAAAGTGAAGGATCTTTTGCTGTTTACTGATAACCTTTTCACTGAGAAAGGATAAATCAAGTTCCATGTGTTATGTCCTTGCATGGAGAATAGGATCGCGACTTGAGAGACACTGCTATTGTACTCACATTGTCATAGTAGAGTGTAGGAGTTGGCACAGAGACTGAGTTCATTGAGTAAAGTTTGAACTTTCATATCATTTTTAGACATCTCATGTGTTAGATAGTCAAGTTTGTTTTTTCCTTTTTGGTTTAGTGTGTTATGTTTCATCTGATCTATTTTGAAAATTTTAATTGTAAAATGACTTAATGTGTGCTTGGTTTTCCTCTTTCCCGCTTCCCAAAGCTCATTCAATGTGAATCCACCTCTCACATGTCATATTCACGTTGAATGGAACTATACAGGAAATCAAGCACACCTTTTGGATTCTGTAAGGAGTACACTTTCTAAGAGTGCAGAGTGGATCAACATTGATATTTAAAATGCATTCTTTATATTTTTATGAAGTAAAAGCAATCTGATAGCAATGCCTGGATTTTTGGAAGCTAATTCTTTCAATTTGTTCATCAATGGTAATCTGTTAGAGATTCCCAAGTATCAATGGTTAGTTACAATAGAGTATCAATAGTTAAAACTTAAAAAAATTAGTGTGTTTGAGAACATATTTGCATCATTGCATATGGGCGCATTCACACTTTCCAAAGCATGAAATGAAGAAGCAGAATGTCCGTTTGGATGGTTTGAACTGATAACCAGACACACTGTTAGTTAGAGGGGTTGGAATTTGGAAAGACATGCATTTAGCTTAAAATAGGAGTGGAGTGGCATTGAGATTTGCTAGAACAAAGCTGCAGCTCAGATGTTAAGGGTGGAGAAGAGATCTTTCTTCTTGATTTATTTATTTTTTCCAGTCAAGCATTAAAATCCCTTTTGTTTTTCCTCAATTATCATGAGAAAAAAGTTTTCCTAACATACTCTATAGCATTGTGCGACCTACACTTTAGAGTAGCAAAATTCTGTTAACATAATATTTCTTATTTTTGTTCTCAATTTTATAGAGTATGCTAATCTTGGTTTCTCTTTTGTGCAGATAGTAAATTGGAAAACTTACCTGAAATTTCCTGAAGAAGCTAGGCTATCCCCAGAAGCTAAAGATCTTATTAGTAAACTTCTGTGCAATGTCAATCAAAGGCTGGGGTCAAAAGGTGCATATGAAATAAAGGTGTTGTATGGTGTGTCATTTTCTAAATTCTTAGATTTGCTATATTATTCTTTTGGTTATGGAGTTTACCTTTTTGCTGCAATCCTCTTTAGGCTCATCCATTCTTCGAAGGTGTTGACTGGGATAAGTTGTATCAAATGGAAGCTGCATTTATTCCTGAGGTTAATGATGAGTTAGATACTCAGAATTTTGAAAAGTTTGATGAGGTATTTGAGTCTCTTATATTCTCCCTTTGTATAGCTAGTTGTCAGCCATTTGCCTTGTTCACTTTTTCTCATTTTATATTTTGCATCTGTAGTCTGACAGCCAAACTCAATCGTCATCAAGATCTGGTCCATGGAGGAAGGTAATCTTAAGTGTTTCCTCTCCGTTGGAAATTTTTACCAAGTTATTTGTAGAGCTAGTTTGCTAGAGTCACCTTTTGGTTGATATGATGACAAAGTAGTATGTTTTTCATGTTCAATCCCTACTCTTTTTTCATAGTAAAGGGAAGAGCAGAGAAATAAGTTAGTCGTCATTGTTTTCTTTATACTTTGAATTACTTTGCATGGCTATGAATTGTAAGTTGTTGGTATGTCTTTTAGTCATCATGAACTGAAATAGTAGTTGAGATGGTATAAACCATAGGCAGGACTCACTGTGGTAGTAGGAAATATCTTGTGAGCTGTCAGCTTGCTTGGCATTACTTTATCAAAAGTTTTATTTGTTCTCCTTTCACTTTTAGTGACATTTTGGCTTTAGAAATTACTTGGCTAATTTCAATCTTGACTAAAACTTTTTCAGACTCTTGTTATGAATAATGTCTTGGCATTGCACTTCTGATATCTAACTAATATTACACTCAATAAAACAAGAATTCACACTTTTCCTGAATTGTTAGGAAACTTGAGTTATGGCTCAAGTAGCAGTGTGTATTTGTTAGGCTTTGCTGATGTCCATGCTAGGTTAACAATAACTTTCATGATTTAGGGTTGTTATCTGCATAAATCTGAAATGTGTGATTTTATACTCAAAGGAATTCTTGTTAACTCGTAATAAAAAACTTGTTAGTGTTTAACTTTCTATTAGAAATGGCCAATGGGTATCTTGTAGTTCTAATTGTTGTTTATTTTGTTTTTTACCTGACATCTGTCACAATTTTAATATTTTTCTTTATGTCTTGTAATTCTCTATCTTAAAATCTTCAGTTTGTTAATTTCAGTTGTTGTATCACCCCTATCCCTATCCATTTCTTTATCTTATTCTTATGTTGTTTGAGATGTTACAGATGCTTTCGTCTAAGGACTTGAATTTTGTTGGATACACATACAAGAACTTTGAAATTGTCAACGATTATCCAGTTCCTGGGATGGGTATATCTCTTTTTTCTCTTTTCACTGCTTCAAGTTGTTTTATGTTAATATGTCTGCCAAGAGGTTGTATTTTGGCTATGGTCATGCTATTATGCTTATTTGTTAGATATCTTTTATTTCCAACTCTTTGTGAAGATATTTCCAACTTAGATACATTAACCAAAAGTGTAAATTGTTCAAGTCAGTAAGTGATTATTACATTAACAAATGATAACATTGTTAAGCATTATTCTTTTGGTTAATGCTCCTCGAGGGAGTTTATTTTACCAAGAGTTCCAAAATGAATAAATATATGACTTCCCATTTTGTTCTCTATATGTTGAAACAAGGATCAATTTGAAAGAACATATTCTATCACAACCTTAACTATAGTTCTATCTGTTTCAACTTTCTTATTTTTTTTCTCTTTCCAGACTTAGCTTGTAAATAGCCCGTGATCTGTCTCTTTGAAACATATGATTTTGTTGGGGATAAAGATAAATTAAAATGAAAAGAAGATAACAAACCAGGAGGATCCAAATGCCTCCTTACAGCAAAAGAAACAATGATGATAACATCGTCGTTACTAGTTAAACCAAGAATTACATGCAAATTAGGGAAATTAAGCTACAGGCACAAACATTATGTGCAAAATTTGGTCGGTCCAGATGATTAGATCTGGCCGATCTGGCATATGATTCATTCCATCTTCTGAGGCTGTACGGCCAAGATATTATTGGAACTGTATCAAACCAGAGTTTCACATCAATGAGGTGACATGTCTTCTCAAGCAGGACTGTAGAAACCT